CATTTGAATACAAGGAGCAGCAGCAGCAGTAATGTCTCTATATGAAGCACAGCGAGCAATACAAGAATCAATTTGAATGCAAATGTACTATATGACGCGCAGAATGCCTTTTTGTTCCAGATCTAAATCCTCTGGGCTGAGCACGAAAAAACGAAGTTATAGTGCAAAAAAATATATAATAATAATAATTTTTTTTCAAGTTTCTTTCTAAAAGCAGACACGCAACAGGTACATTTATGAAAAGCAGCCTTTTAATAAACCATTTCCTTCGTTATAAACATTTTGTGTCTTTTGAAGCCGCAGATCAGGCTCACTGAACTTCGAGACCATTTTGAACACTTCTCATCATATTTTCTCTTAGTGACTGATTGATATACAGTATGATAATAATGGCCACAATCATAAGATACTTGTGTGACATAATTAGTTAATCAACCATCATCATCTTTTTGATGCAATTGATTACTGACTGCTTCTTGCAAATACGTGGCTGGCAAAGCAGGGAAACAAAAACCTCCTTTGGTGGTTTTTAGACAGCGTTTAACTAAAAATACTGTACAAAACAGAGAAAATACGATATTAAATAGATTCAAATTAGACTTGTGTGTAATGTAACAATTCATTTCAGTTGTTTGAGTAATTTCTTGACAATGGCTATGACCTATTTTTTGAGGAATATATTAAATGATGGGACGAATCAGATGTAGTGATGAACCTGCAGATTCTGCTGCTCCAAAGTGACTTTCAGCTCGTTGTTTACTTGTCTGGCTGTTTTCTGTTTTGGTTCAGCCGCAGCTCTCTTATTGTCTTCTTTTTTTTATTTCAACAATAACTGGAATTTGTAACAGAAAGAACATCTCTCGAAAACATTGTACACTACCTGCTCAGTAGGATGCCAAACTGCAGGCGGGCGAGGTTAGCGACTAGCTGGTAAACGTATTAGAACGGAAGAATCAGACGTTCCAACCAGGAGTTGTTATAACAATTCAAAGAGAAGGAAAGTTCCTCGGATGGACAGGAACAACTTTAAATGAAGAATAACGTTGCTCCATGGCTGTGGTTAGTTAAAAAGTGGCTTTAAAATACCAGTGTTGTATTTACCTAACATAACTTATTTCTTCTGGCCAAAAACTCATTTCCAGAGTCTCAAAACACCTTTTTACACAATACAATTTTAAATATTTTGAATTGTCACAGTGGGGAAAGCACAGGTGGAATTAATAACTGGCTAGTAGCGCAAAAACTAGAACATCCCCAATGTGGAATTTAGCCATGTGTGCCTTTCCTGTAGTCAAACTGTCCAATGTGAGCACTTTTGTTTTCTCTGTTTGCAGTTGAATTATATTTGGCTTCTGAACTGTGCTCGCTGGCCATTTTATTAGGTACAGTTGTTCAACTGCTTGTTAAAATCAGCTGATCATGTCAGCAAGTCAGTGTATTTGAACTTAGTCGAGATTACTTTCTTTTTTT